CCCCCAAAAAAAACTACAATATCCTTTTGAACATCGATCGTTTTCATGTTCCAAGACAAATGCATTTTTCCACACGACCTACTCTAAAGATAGTCCTTAGAAGGATTCGTGGCGAGCTTACGTTACATTGAGTGCCCATTGACACGATCGGTTCCGTGTGGTAGGCGGGGCCTTGACAGATTGAGGACGCAAATCGACTATCGTGGCACTAACCGATCGCCCGACTCGCAGCCTCAAAAACAAACGCGTTTGTCTTCAGGTCGCGAATCGGGCGATTAGTAAAAAAGTTGTCGATCCCCCCAAAGAGCACTGGGTCTTAAATATATCGAGTGAAATAGATAATCGACATAGCATAATGTCACATGTACTTTGTGAGGGAAGACGGGTATATGGCGGGGGTAAAGTTTAAACAATGTTTGAAACAGTTTTTAGTTTTAGTAAGTGTTTTACGGGACTTGCAACACAATAAGGTCATAAGTGCCAAAGATTATTGAGAGATGTTACAAGAGAGTAACAAACACAAAAAAGAAGGAGGAGAGAGATAAATACGATAGAGGTTTGATAGAAAAGAAGAAGCAAACCACACCAGAGCACCCGCCAACCACCCACTGAAACAGTGTTGTAGATCTACAGAGGTCATTGTGAGGGTGGAGAGCCTTAAAAACTCCCCTGCCTAAACAAACCCAAGTCCAGAACGCCTCGTTGGGGATTCGTGAACTGGGGTCATTCACTCTGTAGTCCGGCATGCTACCAACTCAGACAACGGTGCGCCAGGTGCGTCTACTCGTCACTGTTGTGAATGTGTCGAAGTAAATAAGGGAGAGAAAAAATCGGTGACGGTTCTGCGCCGCTTGACATAGTCTGTGAGACATTCTCCTTAATGGCATTGTGACAGTGAAGGTGAAAGTCAAAAACGATTTAAAGGCGATGGTCAAATACGATGAAACAGTTAGGTTAATCGAGTGCTCTAAGTCGACGTGTGAGGAAAGGTGAAGGTCAAATACTTGTTTTACGCAGCCTTGTAGCACTACTCTTCGATCTCGTCAGGAAGTTGAAGTAACGCGTGTAACAGTTTGATATCACAACATGTGGGTGGCTGGTGGACGCTCCGGTGTGCTCCTTTTGTCCTATCAAACATCTGTCTTCCGTAGGTCTCCTTCTTTTCTTTGTTTGTCTCACGCTAGTAACACTATTAATTTCTTTGTTTGTCTCACGCTAGTAACACTATTAATTTCTTTGTTTGTCTCACGCTAGTAACACTATTAATTTCTTTGTTTGTCTCACGCTAGTAACACTATTAATTTCTTTGTTTGTCTCACGCTAGTAACACTATTAATTTCTTTGTTTGTCTCACGCTAGTAACACTATTAATTTCTTTGTTTGTCTCACGCTAGTAACACTATTAATTTCTTTGTTTGTCTCACGCTAGTAACACTATTAATTTCTTTGTTTGTCTCACGCTAGTAACACTATTAATTTCTTTGTTTGTCTCACGCTAGTAACACTATTAATTTCTTTGCAGCTGCCATTAAACTCACTAACATTAAAACTTAAGTACCGGTACATAACTAATGATCTCGTTGTGAAAATTAAATTATAACATTTGAGGACTTTAGGAGAAAAACTGTTGATGCCCAAACCATAGTCCTTTTCTTCATATCCACACTGTGCAACACAATGATGACATAACATAACACCATGAACCTGTCTAAAATGACCACTAAATTAATATTTCAACAACAGAACCAAAAAAAAAAAAAACGCGTCTAGGAAAAACTACACACTTTAGAGACAGAAAGTCTCTGCACCTAAATATTGAGTTGATAGTAAAACGTGACATCACCAGTTTCCCCGTGTAGTCTTCATTTTTTTTTGGCAACAGTCTTTGGAATTTATCGTCAGATTTCTTGGTATTTGGAGTTCCTCTTATACCTGCAGACGAAGAAAATGACGATAACGATGAGCAGAAGGCCACCCAGAACACTGCCGACTATGATGGGTATTGTGTTGTCCGAGTCCCCATCCGCATTGCAGACGTTCGGGTTCCCGCTGAAATTGGCGTTTCCGTCTGCGTTGAAGGCTTTGAACTCGAGGAACCTGGTGTCCATTTTGACGTCATCGCTGATGGTGAGTCTGAGGTTGGTGTTGCACTTGTAGAAGCCGGTATCTCCTGACTTGGATGGGAAATTGTCCTCTCCCGCGGCTGGGGCCGCTGTTATGACGGTTCCTTCCGGTATCACGGCATCCGGGAAGTTCTGCTGGTCTATGACGTAAGTGACGGTGATGTTAGAAATGCGGTACGACATATTCTCCTCGCTGGCTAAATCCTGGGTCTCTTTGTCTGTGTCGAAGGTGAAGGTCAAAGACCAACCGTTGTAGAAGGAGATAACCAGTTCTTGAGATGTCGGGATGGAGTCGCAGTCGCCGCTAGCGTTGGCGTTTGGAGGGACTTGGAAAGTAGGGGTTCGCTTCACTATCCCAGTGCTCGTGTTAGCCTCGTACGTAATGCTGATGTCAATGGCGCCTAACAGGACGATGCAGGTGCTGTTCTCTCCCTGCACGGTGTAGTTGTTGACAGGTGGCAGAGGCTGCAGGGTGGTTGGCGGGGAGGGCGTGGCTGTGGTTGAGGGCGTGGTTGTGGGTGTGGTCGAGTTCGAGGCTCCAGTTACAGGACTTGTCGAGGTGAGGTCAGCGCTGCAGGAAGATGGCGGACCGAACTGACCGTCCTTCACGTTAAAACCTTGAGCACGTATGTTTGATTCCACGGACACTACAGTAAATGTAACGTTTTCCGGTAGCACTCCCACTGGGTTATACTCCGTCCGCTGTGTTGAAACGCACGAGTAGGAAGAGTTCTCGTCCGAGATTGTAGCGATTCCGGGGTCGTCGAAGGAGATGTAATCTTTATACGGAAAGCTGGGCCCAAACAGCTGATTTGGACGAAACTGAACCAGCCGATCGAGGCTGACTACCCCGTCCTTATTTTTAAAGAGAAACGACCAGCTGGTGCCGTTTGAGAAGCGTAGGATGAGCGTGCTCACGATGCCGCAGCTTCCTTGAACGGTGATGCCCTGGTCATCATCGGTGCGCACCGCCGTGGCCACCTCCGTGCCGTTCTCGTAAATCTTCATGGTGATGTTGAAGTCAATGTCTAGAAGGATGCACGGTTCGTCGGGACTGCCTTTGGGAGCGTAGGAAAAGTAGACGGCGTGGGACAGCATTAGACTCCCGGAAATCAAGACTAGGATCGCGATGAGATTGATGGACGACGCACCCATGATGTCGAAAATTCCTTGAAAATCAGCACAAGTCAAATGTTACTTCAAAAAGGAATATCTCCGTTGGTTCTTCACTTCAAAGTGTAGCCTATCACTTCCTCACTGTCACTGTTTCTTCACTTCAAATTGCGACCTATCACTTCTTCACTGTTCACGCATGTAAGCTAAAGAGTCAGTGCGCACACGCAGATATTATCTCTAACATAACTGTGATATGTTTTATCCACACGCACAACGTCTTTCTTTTTAATAGTCCTCTGTGATGCGACGGGTCACGAGTCACATCCAACTTATCAAGTGTGCCCTGTCATGTAACATCAGAGCGTGTGCAGATAACGGTCTGACCTCGACACCTGCGCGCTGCGATGCGTCATCTCAACGCATGCCATCTGCCAGGCTCACTGACATCATCTGACTTGAGGGCGGTCTAGCACTAATTCAAGGCCACCAACAACGTCTGAATGATAAAGAAAAAAACATTAGATAAAGTAGGCTACTTAAGTCTTTATAGACGTAGCAGACAAGAATTAAGTCCGATCAGCAGCAGGGCTGAGACAATGTCACTGCACATCTCACACCATCATACAGGAGCCAAAAACACGATTTTGTACCTTATTTCATAGTATATATTATACATACAATATTGTTGCATTTCAGTTTCAGATACAGAAAATAGAACGGAAAAATCTTTCTGAATAACGAAGTTATTCTTCTTTTAAAAGGTGCCACAAAACAGGGCGAGTTTGAGCATTGTCTAACGACAAGACAGCGCGGCTTTAGTGAGTTAAGCAATAATGTACCGAGCAGTGAGGAACCACAAAATATGAATGATCGCTCTGTAAAACCAGACTTGTCTTGTTTGATTAGAATCGTTAAGTCCGCTCAGAAAGGTAGGAGTGTTGTGAGTCTTGGTCTTCCGACAAGTCAGAATGACGATAGACTGCCGACAGAGCTGACATTTCTACACTGTGTGACATTTGTAAGGCATCGTGCTGAAATCAGGCGCTCGTCAAAATAATGAAATCTGAGAAATCGGCATTTTTTGGCCAGTTTGGATTTTTTTTCTAATTTTGTTTTGTTTTGTTTTTTGGTGGGGTTTTTTGTTCAACGCCTTGTGTGTCCATTCAAAAAACGCTTTTGTGTGTGAATTTCATGGAGAATTATTGATTAAATGCCCAAAAAAAATATGTAAATTTGTAGTTTCCAAGGACTCTTAAGCTATGGAAGTCACCAAACTTTGGCGGCTATTTTCTCACTAATTTTACTTCTGAAGCCAGGCGACCCCACCTCCTTCAATAACAAATATATCGACTTCTATTCAAGATAACTTGGTATTTTTTTCGTCTAAAGCGAGGATAATGAATAACCTTTAAGATGATACCAATAATTCCTCATGCCCAATAATTGACGAGCGCCTGATTCCACCGCGTCATGATACAATTTTGGTGGAGAACAAGGCAGGGCCCTGACTTGCCACAGGCCTCAGAACACAGGACATAGCCCACGGCCCACGGGTTATGACTCTCTCGTGAATGACGGGCCTGAATCAATAGACAGTACGCATACAACGCTTCCAGTCCCCACCCTTCCTGCCCCATCCCACCCACCCCACCACTCTCCCACCCCTCCCCCACCCATCCCACCCACCCACCTCACCCTTTTAAAGAAAAATAATAAACTATCTACAAACTTGTTGGTACAAGCAATATTATAATGTGGCTTGATTTTTAACTTTGAGGTGATTTTCTTAAATCTCACCTTTAGAGTAATAAATATAAAAATAAGACCGCTTTTATACATTGGTCTGTAACCCCGTTTTTATATTATACTGTGGCACTCCGAGGTATCAAATAAAAGGGCGAGGG